ATGTCAGTATAAAACCTACGTCATAAACCAAACCATGTCAATATAAAACCTACGTGATAAACCAAACCATGTCAGTATAACACCTACGTCATAAACCAAACCATGTCAGTATAACACCTACGCGATAAACCAAACCATGTCAGTATAAAACCTACGTGATAAACCAAACCATTTCAGTATAAAACCTACGTGATAAACCAAACCATGTCAGTATAAAACTACGTCATAAACCAAACCATGTCGATATAAAACCTACGTGATAAACCAAACCATGTCAGTATTAAACCTACGTGGAATGCCAAACCATGTCAGTACAACACCTACGTGATAAACCAAACCATGTCAGTATAAAACCTACGTGATAAACCAAACCATGTCAGTATAACACCTACGTCATAATCCAAACCATGTCAGTATAACACCTACGTGATAAACCAAACCACGTCGGTATAAAATATGCGTGACATATTAAACCACGACAGCATAAAATATACATGATAAACTGAACCATATCAGTATAAAACCTACGTGATAAACCAAATCATGTCAGTATAACATTTACGTAAAAACCGCTGCACCTATTATCAGTATAAACCTACATAAGAGCCAAGCCAAGTAAGACTAGTGTAAAATTGAATTGAAAACATAGAAATGTAAAATCGCATCAAATACAAACACTGTAATGTACAGAGTTAGTTTCGCGTTAAATCCTAAACAAATAATAACAAAAACTTTTCTTGTATTCTCAAGAACGATTTACAAGATAAACAGGATGTTAATTACTTACATAGACACTACCAATTAAAAGTCAGTTTAAATCCTTGAAAGATTTAAACAGTGTATTATTTACGTATTTGTGAGGCTTCAACCAACGGTTAAAAGATGACCCGGATCACAGCCATCGGTGTCTCTCCTTCACTGAAGCCCCCTGGTGGCTCAGCGGTAAGTGTGAGGGCTCATAACGCTAAACAGCGGTTTTCTTTACCGTGATAAGCAGAGAACAGATAGCCTGTTGTGTATCATTGTGCTTAACAACAAGTAAAGAAATAAATCTTGTGGTTTTCTTAAAAGAAAATATTATCATCATAAACTTAACGTTTCTTGCCGGAGTAGATTGGAAATTAATGAACACAACGTGGTTGTTATAAATATGAAAACACAATATTTGTTCTTGGGAAGAAAATCAAATAAACCTTCAGAACCAATGTTCCTTCCCTGATGCTATCCTGAGGTGTTATTCGCGTATTCCTATAAAAAACGATTAACCTAGGAGTCTCCTTTAGTGCTGTAACGGTAACAGTTGTGATTGTGTTTCCCTTATATACTGCTGTACATTTAACAGACATGGAAGAAGTTATATGTATAAACGTTAACTACAAGATGAACAACGTGATACCAGTACAACTATACTACAAGGTTTGAGATTTAGCTATGTGAAGTAATCACAGGAATGGAACGGATGTAATATTTACCTAGAATGATCCTTTCGGGCAGAGACAGGACTTGAATGAAAAACGAAGAAATGAGGAGACCGCACGAGACTATTGTGATTTTCATGGTGATGAACTCCGGTTTCTTGGTTGTTACATCTCGTGCCATATCATCACATAACCCACACAGTTGTGACCGAATATTGGACAAGCAATCTTCAACTAAAAACCGTCTATGATGGAGCCGAACAAACCCGTGGGTTTAGTCTTTCTTCTTCGGCTATCGTATCCAGCATAGCGCATTCCCGTTATGGCATCACTAGTATTGCTCATGCGCCGAAACAAGCCATGCAGTTCCTGGAGCTCCGGCTACTCCAAAGAGAGCGACAAAACCAGAGTGACCGACGATACTTATTTATACTGACTTGTACAACCGAAATAACAATTTAATGTGGTTGAAAATACTTAAAATTTGTATCATTTTGACAAACAGTGATTATTAAACTACGTCGCACTCACTGGAAGTTCTGAGTTTCAAAAATAACAAATAACCAGGATTTATCAGACACAAATGAAACGATACCCACTCCTGATAATTAGAGTTCCCGGACTGTGAATTGACTATCCGGCCAGGCAACAATAATCTAAGAGGTGACTTCCACTTTAAAATAATGGACGACTATAGGCGGTTAGTGCTTTAATGGTATACCTGTTCTGAGATGATGATCTTTACGTTCAATTTTCCCTTACATTTCTTTCTTTCTCTCTCTCTCTCTCTCTATGTGTATATATATATATATATATATATATATATATACAGATTTATGTATTTATCTAGGTTTATATATGTACAGATTTATGTAGTTATCTAGGTTTATATATATATATACAGATTTATGTATTTATCTAGGTTTATATATACAGATTTATGTAGTTATCTAGGTTTATATATACAGATTTATGTATTTATCTAGGTTTATATATATATATATACATATTTATGTAGTTATCTAGGTTTATATATCCAGATTTATGTATTTATTTAGGTTTATATATAAACAGATTTATGTATTTATCTAGGTATATATATACAGATTTATGTATTTATCTAGGTTTATATATACAGATTTATTTATTTGTCTAAGTATATATATATATACACATATATGTGTTTATCTAGGTATATTTATACAGATTTATATATTTATATAGGTATGTGTATATACATTTATCTATTTATCTAGGTATATATATATATATATACATTTACAGATTTAATTATTCATCTAGGTATATGTATGTCTATATAGATTTGCCCCCAGTGGCACAGCGGTATGTCTGCGGACTTACAACGCTAGAAACCGGGATTCGATACCCGTGGAGGGCAGAGCACAGATAGCCCATTGTGTAGCTTTGTGCATAACTACAAACAAAGAAACTATATAGATTTATGGATTTATCTAAGTATATATATACATATTTTTCTATTATCTTGATATATACACAGATTTATGTAAAGTGGCTTTTTCAGAAAGGTGTATATGAGACACACCTGACAAAGGGATGTATTCACAAATATTTAGATCAGACACGCCTTACAGAAGGTTGTTTTCAGAAAAGTGTAGATCATAAACACCTGAGAAAAGGTATGTTTCAGATATTTAAACTCACAGAAAACTGCTAAAAGGTAATTTTCAGAAACGTGATCGTTAATGTATTCAAATTCTAATTTTTGTGCTCATTTTTATGTATCTTTCGTATTACGTCTCGAAGAGTTGGCAAGGGATGAAACCAATTTTGAAGATATGACGTTTTGTGTGTCGGAGTTTCACACTAACTAAATAGGTCAGTTACAAACTACAGAAAATACAGACAACACGTTGTCTCCTGGTTTCAGAGCAGATTCTGTTTTGTTTCTTAACGACAAACACAAACGCTTTTTATAATAAGACACATTGTTCACAACGACGGTTTCCTTTGTTTAGAGTTCGACCTGGATCTCGTCTGGTTCAACAGACGCAAAACAAAATTTGGTTGAACGACGTTTTGAATTTTGGGAAAAGATTGTAGTGACATATCTTGGCTGAACTGATGAAAATCTGTAGAAGTGGTTCGAAACGTCTCTGAATCATCAAATCAGTAAACAACTTTCATCTCTCGTGGAATAACTTGCAAAACATGGCAGTCAGCCACAACCCCGCCCAAATTAGCCTGATGGTTTGAACTATTTCTAAGAGCATTTCTGACATCAGCTTGACTATATAAAAGTATTTTAACGTAGAGAAAAGTCCCTGTATAATCCTACACATCAGCTTGACTCTGCCAGTTCTTAGGAAAGCTTGTAGCGACATCTGATGTGATACAACATTTCTAATGTCACGAAAGAAACAATTCTTTCTTAAACCTAACACCTTCTTTGAAATTTCTCACTTTGTTGTAGTTGAAAAAAATAAAACATTTGGCATATTAATAATACATTCGATAAATCTACGACCAGTGGTATTAGAAGCTTTCCTATACATCAGTGGTATAAGAAGTTTTCCTTTACATCAGTGGTATCAGAAAGTTTTACTTTTCAACAATGGTATAAAAAGCTTTCCTTTACATCAGTGGTATCAGAACCTTTCCTTGTCATCAGTGGTATCAGAAGCTTTCCTTTTCATAAGTGGTATCAAAAGTTTTACTTTCCAACAATGGTATAAAAAGCTTTCCTTTACATCAGTGGTATCAGAAGTTTTCCTTTACATCAGTGGTATCAGAAGCTTTCCTTTTCATCAGTGGTATCAGAAACTAACCTTTTCATCAGTGGTATCAGAAGTTTTACTTTTCAACAACGGTATAAGAAGCTTTCCTTTACATCAGTGGTATCAGAAGCTTTCCTTTACATCAGTGGTATCAGAAGTTTTACTTTTCATCAGTGGTATCAAAAGCTTTCCTTTTCATAAGTGGTATCAGAAGCTTTCCTTTTCATAAGTGGTATCAGAAACTTTCCTTTTCATAAGTGGTATCAGAAACTTTCCTTTTCATCACTAGTATCAGAAGTTTTACTTTTCATCAGTGGTATCAGAAGCTTTCGTTTACATCAGTGGTATCAGAAGCTTTTCTTTTCATAAGTGGTATCAGAAGCTTTATTTTTCATCAGTGGTATCAGAAGCTTTCCTTTTCATCAGTGGTATCAGAAGCTTTCCTTTTCACCAGTGGTATCAGAAGTTTTACTTTTCAACAATGGTATAAGAAGCTTTCCTTTACATCAGTGCTATCAGAAGTTTTACTTTTCAAAAATGGTATAAGAAGCTTTCCTTTACATCAGTGGTATCAGAAGTTTTCATTTCATCAGTGGTATCAGAAGCTTTCCTTTTCATCAGTGGTATCAGAAGCTTTCCTTTTCATAAGTGGTATCAGGAGCATTATTTTTCATCAGTGGTATCAGAAGCTTTCCTTTTCATCAATGGTATCAGAAGCTTTCCTTTATATCAGTGGTATCAGAAGCTTTCCTTTTCATCAGTGGTATCAGAAGTTTTACTTTTCAACAATGGTATAAGAAGCTCTCCTTTACATCAGTGGTATCAGAAGCTTTCCTTTTCATCAGTTGTATCAGAAGTTTTACTTTTCATCAGTGATATCAGAAGCTTTCCTTTTCATAAATGGTATCAGAAGTTTTACTTTTCATCAGTGGTATCAGAAGCTTTTCTTTTCATGCACTGCCCCCACCTCCCATGGGCTCAGCGGTAAGTCTGAAAGCTTACGAGGCTCAACTTTGTGTTTCGTACATAAAAGAATTAACAAACTTATGAGAAGTTTATATTAAAGCAGAAAACATACAATTTATCTGCTAAAAGAGTCCATAACCTTGTAGTAATATAATACTGAAAGTTCTAACAATTAAAAATATGGTAAAAATTAGATTTTCTGACGAAGTGTGTTAGTCTAAATTAACATCAGTTAGATTATTTCAATGCTATGGTTTGAATTTTAAAAAAATCTGTAGTTTTATTCATTACCATTATGTCGCATTATATATTTTACTCAGGTGAACTCTTTCAAAGTTTGATCCTTTTTTCTAGTTTTCGGTATCACCCTTTTTTTTTTTTGCTTTTTCACCTCCATTAACCGAGCTATTAATCTTTTTTTTTTTATAAAACTGTGATCATTTATATTTTTTGTGTTCTAATACTCATGTTAAACATCCCAAACATGCGCTGAAACTCCCTCACGAAGCAATGAAAACAACTTCAAATATTCAACTTAAATTAACTACTAAGAAGCGAAGATCGTATTAATCCTCTATTGTACGACTTGATGGCGGAGATAATGTTTTCTTTGAATTTATTACAAATTAGATCTATATTGTATAAAATTATGTTCTTTGTGAAATATTTTAAAGAACCCAAAAATAAATCCATGGTTTATTTAGACTGTTAATCGGAAGTAAGAAAATTCAACTACAGAATTAAAGCATCTGTATGTGTATGAAGCAGCTAAACAGATTTGTTACCTGTACTTTACAATGTGCGACAAAGGGTTAAGACGAACCTAACGCAAATAAAAATTATATTTAAACCACAAAAAAGAGGTAATTAAATTACGAAAAATGATATTTGAATCATGAACATGGATATTTAAACAACAGACATGATACTGACTACAAAGAATGATTTTTAAACTAAAAACAAATATACGAAAAATAATAATTAAATTTCAAAAATGTTACTCGAACTACAAAAAACGTTATTTGAACTACAGAAATGATAACTAAGCTACTAAAACTTTTATTTACACTACAAAAGTTATATTAAACCACAGAAAATTTTATTTACACCCCAAAAATATAATAAAACATAAAAAATTGTACCTGAACACCAAAAAGTGATATTAGACTATACAAATTGTTGCCTGAAACAATGATAATTAAACTACAAAAAATAATATTTAAGTTACATAATTATATTAAACTATGAAGGACAGTATTTAATATATAAAAATAATATTTAAGTTACATAATTATATTAAACTATAAAGGACAGTATTTAATATATAAAAATAATATTTAAGTTACATAATTATATTAAACTATAAAGGACAGTATTTAATGTATAAAAATAATATTTAAGTTACATAATTATATTAACCTATGAAGGACAGTATTTAATATATAAAAATAATATTTAAGTTACATAATTATATTAAACTATAAAGGACAGTAT